CACACACATTATTGCACACGACAACACAGCACGGAAACCTTTATTAGTAAAATAGCTTCGACAGGCTACTGACTCGCAACGTGAGGGGGTAAAATCGCTGTTTTTGAAGTAACTAAAAGCCTCATTGCTTGCAGAGAGAGACGCGCAGACGCAGGTTCACACACGCAACTTTCATCTCTCTCTCTCTCTCTTGCGCTAATTCAAATAAATGCGATCTTACCGCACTGCATTTCTGTGTCTGATTTAAAGGTGGGGTAAGTGATTTCTGGTAGCCAATGTTGACATTTGAAATCACCAAAACAAACACGCCCTATACCCCAAAAGGGTTTCGCCCCTATTTTGAAAGCTCCGCCACACACATACGCACGCAACCCAGGCAACGATTAGTTCTGTGAAACAAAGCAAAACCAATGTTACACCGTGTCTAGACCGGACACGAGTAGCGCGGCGCGACAAAATACTATAGAACTCATTATAATCAGTGATGCTGTCTACACCATAGATATATACATATCTATGGTCTACACTGGATGCGGCGCGGCACGACACGACAAATCCCCGACAGAAAACTGCTGCTGCGTTCTGTTCATGACATATTGACACAAATTTCAAATGATTTTCAACGGTCGCTTTATATTAGACAGTATATTAGACAGACTTTAGCTGTTGCGGCGCAGACACGGCGTTACTCACCTATCGAGAAGAAGCAAAGCAACCTCGGCGTCCGATCCCAGGCCTTCCGCTCCTTGAGTTCTCTCCAGCGCTGGAAAGCTGATCCCATATTTACACGGGTCCTACTTCTTGCCTTAAGCCTTCTTTTGTTCCGCGGACATTTTCCTATTTTGTTTTTTATCCGCCATCTTTATCTTTCTGTCGTTCGGCTCGGACTGAACGCTCTCTCCTCCACATCATAAGTAGACACGCCCCTTACTGCTGATTGGCTACAAGTTTGTTTTGCTAGTCGGCCCGAATCAGTTTTCTAAAGCGTTTTTTGAAAAATCGCTTACCCCACCTTTAAAGCAGGCCTAATGCTAACGAGCCTTAACTGATTAAAATGACCAATTTGCACGATGGAAGAATTATCGTCTTGTCGTATACAACCATTCAGAAACTCGGCAGAATTTATGTGACCGCTGCACCTGATGTTCATAAACTTTCATAATAGGTAAATGTTTTTTTGTTTTGCCTTGTGAACTGGCCGAGCCTTAATGATTCTGTTTCTTTACATGTATTTGTTTATTGACCATTGCATGCAATCGTGAGATACAGCATTTTTTTTTATTGGCTATTCGTTGGGGGGGAGGGGGTTTCTGGTTCGGGCTCTAAATGTAACTGTGCGCTCGGGTCGGGTCGGGTCAGACGATCTCGGGTACGGGCCGGGTTCGGGCTTCAGTTTAAAGCCCGTGCAGACCTCTAATCAGCACGATTGCAGATTTGACATTGGTTTTACTCATTCAATAAATGAGTAGTTAACATTGAGTGACTTTCATTTTTTAATAGAATAAATTTTAAAATAGTTACATCAGAACCGTCACGAATCTCGGAGCAACACACAGCAGTGTTTCCTTACTGAATGATTTAGTGTTTTTGAATGAATCATTTGAGTCAATGATTCAGTGGTCCATTCATAAAGACAGGCACTTGCTTCATTCTTGAATGAATCAGCCGTCTGAATGAATCGGTTGAACTAATGACTCAAATGCTCACTTATTAACAGTCACTTGCCGCCACCTACTGGTGATTTACTCTCCTATTTAAAAGTCTCATTGCATTTTTCCCCAACCTTTCATATTTGTGTTACGAATTATTTTTAAAAAAACTAAACTTTTTCCAGTCATGGCCTGATTTTTCAGCATGTCTAGCATTCAACATCTATTGGTACTTTGTTAAATCAATTTTGAAATATCTGCAAATGTATTTTGACATTTGACATTATGTAGATTTTCTCAAATATCCATATAAATGGTCAAAAGTATGGGATCATTAAGATTTTTTTTTATGTTTTCAAAAAGAAGTCTCTCATGCTTACTAAGGCTGCATTTATTTGATCAAAAATACAATAAAAATATGAATATTCCAAAATATTATTTCAATTTATAACAACTCTTTTTAATATATATTACCATTCAAATAAAAACATGAATATTCTTAAATATTATTTCAATTTATAACAACTGTTTCAAAAGTATAATAAAAAAAAAGAGACGTTTTTTTATATAAATACTTTTATTCAACAAGAACCAATTAAATTGATCAAAATTGTCAGGAAAGACATTTATAATGTTACAAAAGATTTTCTTTCAAACAAATGCCGTTATTTTGAACTTTCTGTTCATCAAAGAATCCTGAAAAGTCAAATGTATCACTGTTTCCACAAAAATATGAAGCAGACATTTTTTTTTCAATATTGATAATAATAAGAACCATTATTAATAATTCAGCATCAATAATAATTGATCATTACAGAGCAGCAAATCAGCATATTCAAATGATTTCTGAAGGATCATGTGACACTGAAGACTGGAGTAATGATGCTGAAAATTCAACTTTGATCACAAGAATAAATTAAATTTTTTAAATATATTAAAATAGAAAACCGTTATTTTAAATTGAAATAATATTTCTCAATATTACTATTACTGCAGCCTTGAGCAGAAGAGACTTGTTTCAGAAACATTAAAAACCTTTGACCGGGAGTGTGTGTCATATGTATGGCATTAAAGAAATTTATAAATAGCATTAAAAAGAATTAAATTCGATTTGATATCTGCAGAATCCCTGCCTTTCAAAAACCTAAAATCTTACTGACCTCAAACGTTTCGAGTAATAGAAATTAACATTAATTATGAACAATTGTGAAACTTAACTATGCTAATAAATGTATGAATTAACATTAACTTAGATTAACAATGCTGTAAGAAATGTTGTTCATTATTAGTTTATGATGCCTAAAACTAATGTTAGAGAATTAACCCTTATTGTGAAGTCCTTCCATGCTACAATTAAAGAAATGATGAGAGAGAAATACAGAGACATGCTTCCACATAATATTCTCTTCAGTATCATCTTAAATGCCTCTTGCGTCAGTGTTAATGTTGATTTGATGTTATTGGTGAATGTATGTTAGAATGCATCACTTGTCTAGTTGGTCCGTAGCCCTTTGTTAAATGAAGTGCTTAAACATGGATGTAACCATGACCTTCAGAATTCATGCAAAAAGGGATGCCTATTTTTCTTTTTCTTTATGTCTATAAAGCATTTATTTATTTAGACATTTTAGGAAAATGAAACTCCATTTGTGTCAGGGATGCAGAATTCGTTAAGTCAAACTTAAGGAATTGGTCAAATATAAACAATTTTCCTTTTGGTTTTCCACAATGTGGATTTTATTTTCCCAAAACATTGTACTGTAGCAATATTTAAAGATAATGTGTAAAAATGTCAAATAAAAAATTGTTATACATGTATACAAAATGATATACAGTAGTTTCTATGTCTTGTCATAGAACAGATTTCCGGTCAAGTTATTGCATTTAAGTTTAGCATTTACAGTTCATGACGGCACTTTATATATTAATTAGTTTAAAAGTCATGTAATTTATTTTATGCCTGTTCTGTGGTTTGTAATGGATTCTGAACACTCACAAGACTGTTTTTATTGTTGAAAAAGGGAAAGAAACTGCATTTTAACGGACTTGTGCAGAAGAACATTTATCATATCCTTTCATTTATCACATCCTTGTACTGTGTTGTGTTGAAAGTAAGGAAATGTTCATCTTTATTCTCAATGCTTTTTGTTTGCTGAGCGATATAGACTTTGTCAAAAGACTCAATGTGAATCATTGCCTTTACAATTGTCCATCCAAGTGTGTAGAAACTTCCAAATGTCTAGAAAAGCCTCAAATATCCATAGTTATAGAGATATAATTTGGGAATATACACTCTAAAAAATGCTGGGTTAAATACAACCCAGTGCTCCTGGATAATTTTTGGTCATGTGGTTTGGCTAATCTGGTTTTAGTTACGAGTCACATTATATCTGCCATTAATTAAGTGTACTTTATTTCAGTGGTTTGGAGGCCTTACCTGGAGGGATGGAAAGAAAGCTGCTGATTGTGGATGGTTTATTCCAGTTAAAACGTGTCTCCATCTCTCATTTTATATATATATATATATATATATATATATATATATATTTATTACTTTTTAACCCACTGTTGTGGTATTGTGTTTGTCAGCTAACTTCTAACTTGCATCTTGTTCATACATCATTCAGAAAATGGAATATGCAAACATTTCATGCATAGAGTTAACCTCTCCCCAGATTTTAAGAGAATATAGAGACTGAAAATGCTAAATATATCAGAAGTGAAAATAATGTAATGTCTTAAAAATAAAATCAAGAAATACATGTTTAACATTCTTGGCTACTTGTTGAGGTTATTGTCACTAAACACAATTTACGCACTTAAACGTATCCTCATGCAAATAACAACATTGCTTTTTATTTATTATTGCAGGGATAAAATTGCCAGTATAAAATATGCTCTGATATTGGAGGTAAAGAAAACTATAGTCTTAAAGAGTCTTAATTTGACCATCCACAAATTAAGGCCTTAAAAAGGTCTTAAATCAGAGCAGAAAGTATTAAAGGGGTCATATGATGTTGCTAAAAAGAACATTATTTTGTGTATTTGGTGTAATGAAATGTGTTTATGTGGTTTAAGGTTAAAAAAACACATTATTTTCCACATACTGTACATTATTGTTTCTCCTCTATGCCCCGCCTTTCTGAAACGC